CATTGCTTGAAGTTCCCAATTTAATTCCTCCAGCTGAAGATTCTCTCGATTCACCGCCTGCAGAGCAACTTCCATCTCAATCGTTCTCTCCTGCACCTGCCACTGCACCTGCCATTGTTCCCACTCGAAAATCTACAAGATTTTCTCATCCTCCATCTTATCTATGGGAATTTCATTGCAACATGTTATCCAAAGCTGAGATGACTCCTTCCAGCAACCTGTATTTCCTGGACAAGTTCATATCTTATGATTCTTTATCTAGTTCTCACAAGCATCTTGTCTTAAATATATCTTTTCCGTTTGAGCCCCAGTTTTATCATCAAGCAGTTCAATTCCCACATTGGCGAGAAGCTATGAAGGCCGAGCTAGATGCTATGGAAGCTAATCACACTTGGACTGTGGTTCCTTTGCCTACAGGGAAGCATTCCATTGGTTGCAAATGGATTTACAAAGTCAAATACAAGTTCGATGGTTCTGTGGATCGACATAAAGCCCGGTTAGTGGCTAAAGGATACACTCAACAAGAAGGTGTCGATTTCTTTGAAACCTTCTCCCCTGTTGCAAAGTTAGTTACTGTCAAAATACTATTGGCTCATGCTGCTAGCCAGAATTGGCATCTCGCTCAATTAGATATGAATAACACTTTCCTTAATGGAGATTTATTTGAGGAAGTGTATATGGATCTACCTCTTGGATATGTTGGAAAGGGGGAGCATTCTACTCATAAGGGAAAGTTAGCCTGCAAACTTCATAAGTCCATTTATGGGCTCAAACAAGCCTCTAGACAATGGTACTCTAAGTTATCCCAATCTCTTCTCCGATTTGGTTTCGTTCAATTGAAATATGATTACTCCCTGTTCACTAAGGGCTCTGGTCCTTCCTTTGTGGCATTACTGGTTTATGTGGATGATATAGTCATTCTGGGCCCTCAATCTCCATCATCAATTCCTTGAAATCTTTCCTTCAAGGTCAATTTAAACTCAAGGATTTAGGGAATTTGAAGTATTTCCTTGGGATTGAAATAGCATGATCTCGAACAGGCATCATCCTTTCTCAGAGGCATTACACTCTACAGCTCCTAGAAGACACTGGTTTTCTCGCAAGTAAACCAGCTAATGTTCCTATAGATCCCAAAACTCGGCTTGCTGCTGCCGATGGTGAACTCTTGCAAGATGTCTCTCAGTACAAGCGCCTTATTGGTCGCCTTTTATACCTCACTTTGTCTCGGCTTGACATTACTTTTGCTGTCCACAATCTTAGTCAGTTTTTGGCCCAACCTCGTGTTCCTCATTTAGCAGCTGCTCATCATCTTCTTAGGTATCTCAAGTCCACTCCTGGTCAAGGATTATTCTTTTCTGCCTCATCCTCTATTCAACTCAAAGCCTTCTCTGATACTGATTGGGGTTCCTGTCCAGATACCAGACGGTCTATTACTGGTTTTTGTATTTTCCTAGGTGATTCCCTGGTCTCTTGGAAGGCTAAAAAGTAGAACACCATCTCTCGCTCGTCTACTGAGGCCGAATACAGAGCTTTAGCTGCTGTCACAAGTGAGTTAGTCTGGTTAAGCGAGTTATTAAAAGATTTTGCTGTAAAGTCGACTCCACCAGCCCTTTTATACTGTGATAACCAAGCTGCCATTCACATTGCTAATAATCCCACCTTCCATGAGCGAACCAAGCATATAGAAATCGACTGTCACTTTGTCCGTGATAAAATTATTGATGGTTCAGTCAAACTTATGCCTATTCGCTCTCATCACCAACTTGCTGACATGTTTACAAAGCCTCTGGCTTCTTCCTTCTTATCCTCATTGTTATCCAAGATGGCTGTTAAGAACATTCACAGTCCATCTTAAGGGGGAGTTTTAGAGTTAGTTTTAGAGTCAGTTAGAGAGTTGTTATTTTTGTTATAACTTATTCTTTCATATTAGCCTGTTTCATGGTTGTATATATACTTGTAATCACTGATGATTCAGAGTTGAATGAGATTTTCATTTTTCTCCACGATTCCATTGTCCTCACAATACTAATAATTCGCCTATTCATCATTCTCTCCTCCACAACTGCGCTCGTTTAGCGATACTCCGATCTGACCAACTGAAAATTCAAACTCGTTTACAGGCAACCTTTTTTCTCCTTCCTTTAACTTTATCGAAAATTCACTATGATAGTATCTTAATTACTGATATATAGTGCCTTTTTCGAAATCTTTCTTTTTTTTTTTTGGCTCTGACTAAATCATTCTTTAATAATACATGTTAAAAGCCTTTTTAACAAGATTGATTGTTATATAATCTTGTATAATTTAGGAACACACAAATACAATAGCGTTCTCATTTTAGAATCTTTTACATTTTTCAAATGGAAAAGAGGAAGGAACTTTATCTTTTCAAATTAATATTGCAAACATTCTCACTTTGTTCGTTAGTTTAACACCATATATAGTAGTGCTAAAACATATTTGTAGGTATATATTGACGTTTTATTTGCATTTTGTCTAGGTACAAAAGTAAATATGCCTGAAGAAATAATTCTGCATGTGAAAGAGGAAATCCCGCAAGATGAGAAAACATCAGAGAATCAATTAAAAAGTAGAACACTCGATGACCAAACTAAAGCTCCTACTAACAACCTTCCTGGGCTGATCCAAGATGAGCAGAAGCTGCTAGAAGAACTGAAATTTAAAGAAGCTGATCAAGCGCAGCGGTCTCAAGGGACGATACAAAAGGTTCCAATGATCATGCGCAAAAATAAAGATATCAAAAAGTATTTTATGCCACAGGAGATTTCAATCAGTCCGATTCATGCTCAGCATCCGAATTTGTCTAAAGGGGAATGATAACTCAGAGAAATAGAGTTATTTAGTATACTTTTAGGCTTAATATTTATTTATATTCTCCGGGTAAAATGCCTTTGTGTTAGTATTTTGAATAGCATTTATTAATCTTTTTCCGTGTGGCAGAAAGTTGTTATTTATGGGAAATCTTGCTATATTTTGAAGTTATTCCTCAATTCAACTCATTGCATTGATCCTGGGAACTTAGTGCATGATGTCCACAGGAGGTGCTGACGTAGGCTTTTGGTGAGAAAAGCACGGTGGAAAACACAAATGTTGAAATGCCCCCAATGCCATAGCATTGCTGCAGCAAAGTCGCAGCAAAAGCAGGAGCAGCCAAAAATTAGCAAGCTGGCGCAGTTTGTCTTTTAGCGCTGGTAGTGGTCCAAGCACTGACGGGACAGCTGTAAGAGCACCAGGAGGGGGGACCATCAATCATGACTCTCATGCATACACTTGTCACTAGGGCACCTCAACATGCCCTAGTATATAAAGGAAAAGAAGAGTATAGTACAACCAGCGAGAGAAGAGGAGAAAATCAGGAGAGGCGCACAGAATTCCTGGATGAGCTGGAAACGGAGACAGAAGAGAGTACAGGAGATTTTGGACGCTGGAGCTGGAGAAAAGAAGAGTACAGCACGGATACACAGGGGTTTTTGACCTCAGATTCTAGCTTAGCTGTTTTCTCCTTCTCTTTGTATTTACTTTCCGAGACCTTATGGATCTGTTATTTGTTATTAATTCTGATTTTGTTGAACTAAACATGAGCTAAATTCCTTAGCTAGGATTATTGATGGAACCAAAGTTGCAATGAAGATCTATTTGCTATTTTGATTGATAATGTAATTTTCATCTGGTTTATTCAAGCATATTTATTGTTTACTTTCTATTAAGTGACAGGCCATCATTTAGTAAGAAAACACAAACTTAAGCTAATTCTGGAAAGGTTGGTTGAGTTAGATCTAGCTTGGATAATGTAAGAGATAGTATAGGAATATACTATTATCTTGCACAACCCATTAAAATTGATGTTAACGTCAGGTCTGTAAACTAAAACACATAGGAATATGTTGGTTTGGTTTAAGGAATTACAAGCATAAATCTGTCGGAAGATGATTATGTAGAATTTTAGGTTGACTAGATGAACTTTGCTACAGCAATCGTATAGCAAATCGTGGTCAGAGTTGCAACCGAGGGGAAATCAGTAATCCTAGCCTTCATCCATCATTAAATCACAGCTCTAAGCTCAGATCTTGTTGACTTTTACCTCTTGTCTGCATTTAAATTACAGTCTTTGGTCTTATACATTCTTTTCACTTAATTAATATCAATTTGGCATTCAAACTATTCTCAATCATATTGATAAAACTAGTTTTTGTAATAGAATTCCTCATTAACTCAGTCCCTGTGGAATTATAGAAATCAGTTTTTGTTCATTTAAATCCAATATTGCTTCTGTTAATCTCAGTTGCTCCTGTTGTGCTAAAGCAGGTGTAACCTTCTTGCATGAATAGACCAAGGGATGCAGATTTGATTCCCTTGGACCCAGAAATTGAAAGAACCTTTAGAGCCAGAAGAAGGGAACAACAGCGGTTAGCTGGAATTGAAGAAATGGCTGACGGAGTAGGTGGGAATAATCAAGGTAATCAAGTGGTAGTAATAGCAGAGGATAGGGACAGGGCCATCAGGGATTATGCCATCCCCATGCTCGATGGTTTGCATCCAGGCATTGTGAGGCCAGAAATCCAGGCAACTAAGTTCGAGTTGAAGCCGGTCATGTTCCAAATGCTCCAAACCGTGGGGCAGTTCAGCGGGATGCTGACTGATGACCCACACATGCACCTTAGGCTTTTCATTGAAGTATGTGAAGCATTTAAGGCCCCAGGTGTGACAGAAGAAGCTCTTCGTCTCAAGTTATTTCCTTATTCTCTAAGGGACCGAGCTAGAGCATGGCTGAATTCTCTGCTGCCAATTCGGTAGCTAATTGGAATGATTTGGCTGAGAAATTTCTGGTGAAATATTTCCCTCCGAACAAAAATGCCAAACTTAGGAATGATATCACATCATTTCAGCAGTTGGAGGGGGAAGCTCTATGTGAATCATGGGAACGCTTTAAGGAATTATTAAGGAAGTGTCCATACCACGGACTCCCCTATTGGATTCAAATGGAAACCTTCTACAATGGGCTCAATGCTTCAACTAGAGCCATGGTGGACGCCTCAGCGAATCGAGCCTTACTTGTCAAGACGTACAACGAGGCTTATGAAATTCTGGAAAGAATGTCCAACAACAATTACCAGTGGCCCACCGAAAGAGTTTTTGCAGGGAGACGAGTGGCAGGAATTCATGAAGTAGATGCGGTGACTGCGTTGACTGCTCAAGTTTCTTCTCTTTCCAATATTTTGAAGTCTCTAAATGTGGCTGCTCCAGCTAATGCAGCAACCCCAGTTGCATTAACTTGTGTCTACTGTGGAGCTGAGCACTCATTTGAAAATTGCCCATCCAACCCCGAGTCGGTTTGCTATGTGAACAACTTTAACCGGAATAACAACCCTTATTCCAACTCATATAACCAGGGGTGGAAGCAACATCCGAATTTTTCTTGGTCGAATCAAGAAGCTAATCCGATGCCAGGACCTAGCAAACCAGCATATCCACCAGGATTTCATCAACATCAACATCAAAGACAGCCACCTCAAGAGCAATCAAATCAGAGGCAGCCACATCAAGCGTCATCAACCCCTATGGAGGCATTACTTAAAGAGTACATGGCAAGGAATGACTCGCTCATTCCGGGTCAAGCTGCTCTCCTCCAGAGTCAAGCTGCATCGTTGAGGACCTTGGAAAATCAAGTGGGGCAGTTGGCTAATGTTCTCAGTAATAGACCCCAAGGATCGCTTCCGAGCGATACGAAAAACCCAAGAAGAGATGGTAAGGAACATTGTAAGGAGCATTGTAAAGCTATCACACTTCAGAATGGTAGAGAAATTGAACAACTAACTCGACAGACTGCAGCAACAGAGCACTCTTCGATCCAAACCCAGGAAGTCCAGCAACCACCAGCTGAATCAGAACAGGATGTGGTCGACCAGGATGCTACAGCAAAGCTGAAGCAAAACAAACCAGAGAGACCTCCACCCCCATTTCCACAGAGATTTCAGAATCAAAAACAAGATAAGCAATTCAGGAGATTCCTTGACGTGCTGAAACAGCTTCATATCAACATTCCACTCGTGGAGGCATTGGAGCAAATGCCGAGTTACGTTAAGTTCATGAAGGATATCCTCACAAAGAAACGAAGGCTAGGTGAATTTGAGACGGTGGCACTAACCGAAGAATGCAGTGCAATCTTGAAGAATCGGCTGCCACCCAAGTTGAAGGATCCTGGTAGCTTCACCATACCATGCTCCATTGGAGATCAATACATCGGAAAAGCTTTGTGCGACTTGGGGGCGAGCATTAATCTAATGCCAATGTCCATTTTCAGAAAGCTGGGAATAGGTGAAGTGAGCCCCACCACTGTTACGTTGCAGCTAGCCGACAGGTCTTATGCTCACCCAGAGGGAAAAATAGAAGACGTCCTAGTACGGGTGGACAAATTTATATTTCCAGCCGACTTCATCGTGTTGGACTATGAAGCGGATAAGGAGGTACCGATTATCTTGGGGAGACCCTTCTTAGCTACAGGCAAGACGTTGATAGATGTTCAAAAAGGAGAGTTGACAATGAGGGTCCACGATCAACAAGTCACTTTCAATGTGTTCAAAGCGATGCGTTTCACTGATGAGGTGGAGGAATGTTCAGCAATGAACGTTTTGGATTCATTAGTGGCAGCAGAGTTTGAAAAGACATGTGCTGAGAAATTGATGACAGAGGAGGACCTGATTGATTCGGAGATTAATGAGGACAACAATGATAAACAAGTATCAAGGTTGGAGGGTAGGCATGCAGCAACAAAGTCTAGGAGGCATTTCGAGTCGTTGGACTTGTCAACAGAGCCTTTAAGGCAGCATAAGCCCTCAGTGGAAGAGCCCCCCATTTTGGAACTAAGACCCTTACCGGCACACTTAAGGTACGCTTATTTGGGTGATTCCGATACTCTTCCTGTAATTATTGCCTCTGGATTAAATGACATGCAGGAAATACAACTACTCGAGGTGTTAAAAAAGTTCAAACGTGCAATTGGGTGGACCATCGCTGATATAAAAGGAATCAGCCCATCAATCTGCATGCATAAAATTTTGCTACAGGAATGCTGCAGCAATTCAGTAGAGCAGCAGAGAAGGTTGAATCCGATCATGAAGGAGGTAGTGAAGAAAGAGGTAATTGGATTCATCAGTGGCAGCAGAGTTTGAAAAGACATGTGCTGAGAAATTGATGATAGAGGAGGACCTGATTGATTCAGAGATTAATGAGGACAACAATGATAAACAAGTATCATGGTTGGAGGGTAGGCATGCAGCAACAAAGTCTAGGAGGCATTTCGAGTCGTTGGACTTGTCAACAAAGCCTTTAAGGCAGCATAAGCCCTCAGTGGAAGAGCCCCCCATTTTGGAACTAAGACCCTTACCGGCACACTTAAGGTACGCTTATTTGGGTGATTTCAATACTCTTCCTGTAATTATTGCCTCTGGATTAAATGACATGCAGGAAATACAACTACTCGAGGTGTTAAAAAAGTTCAAACGTGCAATTGGGTGGACCATCACTGATATAAAAGGAATCAGCCCATCAATCTTCATGCATAAAATTTTTCTACAGGAATGCTGCAGCAATTCAGTAGAGCAGCAAAGAAGGTTGAATCCGATCATGAAGGAGGTAGTGAAGAAAGAGGTAATTAAATGGCTTGATGCAGGGATAATTTACCCTATTTCAGACAGCTCTTGGGTCAGCCCAGTTCAATGCGTACCCAAGAAAGGTGGAGTCACCGTGGTTCCAAATGACAATAACGAGTTGATTCCTACAAGAACAGTTACTGGTTGGAGGGTATGTATGGACTACAGGAAACTGAACAAAGCAACCAGAAAGGACCACTTCCCTCTGCCTTTCATCGACCAGATGCTTGATAGGTTGGCTGGAAAAGAATATTACTGTTTCTTAGATGGATACTCAGGCTACAACCAGAATGCCATAGCACTAGAGGATCAGGAGAAGACCACTTTCACATGTCCGTATGGGACGTTTGCTTTCATAAGGATGCCTTTCGGACTCTGCAATGCTCCAGCAACTTTTCATAGATGTATGATGTCCATTTTTACAGATATGGTGGAGAAGTCGCTGGAGGTTTTTATGGATGATTTCTCAGTTTTCAGAGATTCCTTTGGGGATTGCCTCACCAATTTGGAAAGAGTTTTAATGAGGTGTGAGGAAACCAATTTGGTTCTAAATTGGGAAAAATGCCACTTCATGGTACAAGAGGGCATCGTTTTGGGTCACAAGATCTCCAACAAAGGCATTGAGGTGGACAAGGCAAAGATAGAAGTAATAGACAAACTACCGCCACCAACATCAGTGAAGGGGATTAGGAGTTTCCTGGGCCACGCCGGTTTTTATCGGCGGTTCATAAAAGATTTTTCAAGGATATCTAAGCCATTATGCAGTTTGGTGGAGCAAAGTCGGTCATTTGAGTTCAATGGCGAATGCCATCAAGCATTTTTGGAATTAAAGAAGCGGCTGGTGTCTGCTCCCATATATCTTGTGGCACTAAGGTGATCGTATACACTGACCACTCCGCCATTAAGTACCTGATTGCAAAAAAGGACGCCAAGCCACAGCTGATCCGCTGGATACTACTGCTGCAAGAATTTGATCTGGAAATAAAGGACAGAAAAGGATCCGAAAATCAGGTTGCAGACCATCTTTCCAGGCTAGAGGAGGGAAGTGAGATTGAACCAAGGGAGCCCATCCGAGAGACCTTCCCAGATGAGCAACTTTTGGCCGTACAACAAGCCAAGGCTCCCTGGTATGCAGACTTCGTGAATTTTATAGTGAGTGGGCTGTTTCCGCCTGAAATGAGTAGTCAACAGAAGAAAAGGTTCTTGCATGATGCTAAATTTTATTATTGGGATGAGCCATTTCTTTACAAACAGTGTGCGGACCAGGTAATGCGACGATGTATCCCTGAGGAAGAAGTTCAAAGCATCCTCCAACATTGCCATTCATCACCCTATGGAGGGCATTTTGGAGGAACAAGAACAGCTGTAAAGGTCCTCCAATCTGGATTCTATTGGCCTACAATCTTTAAGGATACGCATGAGCTTGTAAAAAGATGCGACAGTTGCCAACGTGTTGGCAACATCTCCCGCCGGCACGAAATGCCGTTGAGTAACATTCTGGAGGTGGAATTATTTGATGTATGGGGCATAGACTTCATGGGCCCATTTCCTCCTTCTTTTGGAAACTTGTACATCTTGGTGGCAGTAGATTATGTCTCAAAATGGGTGGAGGCAGCAGCACTTCCAACAAACGATTCCAAGGTAGTCGTGAAATTCCTTCATAAAAACATCCTTACACGATTTGGAACACCAAGGGTTATCAACAGCGACGAGGGTACCCACTTCGGCAGCAAGCAATTTGAGCACCTTTTCAGCAAATATGGAGTAAAACACAAGATTGCCATAGCATACCACCCACAAACCAGTGGGCAAGCTGAAGTCTCCAACAAGGAAATAAAGAGCATCTTAGAGAAGGTGGTCAACCCAAATAGAAAAGATTGGTCGCTGAGATTGGAGGATGCTCTATGGGCATACAGAACAGCATTCAAGACACCGCTGGGAATGTCCCCATTCTGCCTAGTCTTTGGGAAGGCATGCCACTTACCGGTGGAGTTGGAGCATAGAGCATATTGGGCAGTAAAACAGCTGAACATGGACCTCAATTTAGCAGGAAAAAAGCGTTTGTTGCAGCTGAATGAACTGGAGGAATTCCGGCTGCTAGCATATGAAAGTGCCAAATTATATAAGGAGAAAACTAAGAAATGGCATGACAAAAGAATCATTCCTCGACAGTTTGAAGTTGGGCAGCAGGTTCTACTTTTCAATTCCAGGTTGAAATTATTTCCAGGGAAATTGAAGTCCAGATGGTCAGGTCCTTTTGTGGTACATCAAGTCTATCCACATGGGGCAGTAGAGATAGCAGCTGCAGATTCAGGGAGAACCTTCAAGGTGAACGGCCAGCGACTAAAGCACTACTGGGGTGACGAGATTATTCGCCAGAAAACCTCCATCTCACTTCAAGACGCATAAGAGCACGGCCGAGTCAGGCTGAAGACGTTAAAACAAGCGCTTGAGAGAGGCAACCCTATACTTTTAATTCCTATATGTCCTTTGATTTTTTTTAGTTTTTGTAATGACTTTTTATTTCTGTTGTGAATAGCGTGATTGTTATCCAGGAAGGCGTTGGGCAGAAGTAATGTTGGCGGGAGAAAGGAAGGTTTTAGCTCAAAGGACAGGGAGGGCTGAGTCCAGAATTTTGCTGCAGCAAAATTCTTCTCAATAAAAAATTTTGCTGTAGCAATATTTTAAAGAAAAAAAAAACAAAACAAAAACACGGGGGATAAAAAGGGGCAACATGCCCTATCGCTTTCATTCAAAACTCCCAATTTCCCTTTCAGAAAAAAAAAACAAAAAAAAATAAAAAACCCTACCAGCCCCACCAAGTGTTTCCGTGGCATCCCTTTCTCCTGCGCCGTCAACCCCACTAATCAGCCGTGACCGCAGCCTGGTGCGCACTCGAATCTAAGGGGCCCAGTTGGTGTTGATTCTACTGTTGAGGCTTTCCCCTATTCAGATTCGTCAAGAGAAGTTTTGGCGCAGAATTTCAATTTCAGCTTTGGGGCCGAAATTTTTTCTAGTTGAGCCGCTCTTTCCGTCGCCGATCCCGAAATGGTGCGCACGAAGAGGCCAGCCAACAAAAGAGTGGGTCGCGTGCCAAGGAACCCACAGATTAGTTACCAGACATTTTCCTCAATAGCGGCGGAAGTCTGGTACGACCAGTGCATCTGCCGGCATTCTTTCAACCCCGAAAAGGGGTTCTTGCTGACCAGCGCCCCTAATATGGGGTATGATGAGAGCATAGCTTCGGTCATCAATGCCATAAATTGGAGAGCTTTCTGTTCTCACCCGCTGGCCGCAGTAGTCCCTCTCGTCCGAGAGTTCTACGCCCACTTCACTCAAGAAGGGCAGCAGCATGTGTACATCCGGGGTGTTCAGGTTCTAGTTGACCCAGAGACGATAAATCGTTTCTATGGGCTAGAGGCCTCGGTTGATCTGCACTCTGAGTTTGCAGCGACGGTTGATGCAACTCAGCTAAACAGCATGCTGGAGCGTCTTTGTGTCCCAGGCACCAAATGGAGCGTCTCCAAGCAGGGTACTTTGACGGTGCAAAGGAGCAGCCTTGCCCCGCAGAGCAGAATTTGGTACCATTTCTTGAAGACCCGCCTACTGCCCTCCACGACGATGCACACAGTGTCCAAGAACCGAATACTACTGCTGGATTCTGTCCTGGCAGGCCGCCCAATCAATGTCGACAAAATAATCAGTAGGGAACTCCAGACGTGTGCTCGAAAGGCTAAAGGTAGCTTGTGGTTTCCCGCACTCATTTCAGGACTGTGTCAAAACAGTGGCGCGCAGGTATTTCCTCATGAGGAGACGTTGTCCTCGCGTGGAGCAATCACCACCCTGACCTTAGCACGGTTGGCACAGAATCAGCCGGAAGGAGAACCTCCAGCTGAGCAGTCCTCCGATAAGGATGAGGAGCCAGACCCGGCGGGGCAGGCCGCAACCAGCGGACATGCGGCCGAATCGAGTAGCAGAGGTCAGGATGCGGGAATAATCAGCTCACTTCGCATGATGGAACAACGAATCACTCTCCAGGAAATTCAGCAGGCTGAGATGATGGAAATGATGCAGCGGATGCATAAGCAGCAGCAGCAATATTGGGCCTACGCCGAGCAACGAGACAGCGCCTTGAAGAAATCTCTTCAGAAAAACTTCACCAAGCCGGTGTTCCCATTCCTTGAATTTCCTGAAGAGGTGCTGGAGCCCGTTGTTTCTGAGGACAATGCCTCGGTCCACCCAGAGGAAGAAGAAGAGGAGTAACAGGGTAGGCGCCCTGCCTACCCTGCCCAGGGAGTATCAATTTTCTGCCCCATTTTTGCTTTGTCTTATTTCAGTTGTTTTTAGTATCTGTTTGTTCTTGGTAGTTTGTTAGCTTTTCCCCCAAGCAGTGAGGACACTGTTTCCTTTAAGTTTGGGGGTGGTTGACAGACTTGTGTAGATTTGTGTTTAATGCCCATTGTTTGAGTCTGTTGTTTAGTAGCATATGTTGTTTTCTAAAAAAAAAAAAAAAGCCTACGCCGAGCAACGAGACAACGCCTTGAAGAAATCTCTTCAGAAAAACTTCACCAAGCCGGTGTTCCCATTCCTTGAATTTCCCGAAGAGGTGCTGGAGCCCGTTGTTTCTGAGGACAGTGCCTCGGTCCACCCAGAGGAAGAAGAAGAGGAGTAACAGGGTAAGCGCCCTGCCTACCTTGCCCAGGGAGTATCAATTTTCTGCCCCATTTTTGCTTTGTCTTATTTCAGTTATTTTTAGTATCTGTTTGTTCTTGGTAGTTTGTTAGCTTTTCCCCCAAGCAGTGAGGACACTGTTTCCTTTAAGTTTGGGGGTGGTTGACAGACTTGTGTAGATTTGTGTTTAATGCCCGTTGTTTGAGTCTGTTGTTTAGTAGCATATGTTGTTTTCTAAAAATAAAAAATAAAAAAAAAATAATGAATAAATGCTTTGGTCTTGCTGCAGTTGTGTTGGTTTAAGGATATTCAATGAAAAATGCAGTGTGTCAAAAGTTTCAGCTTGTATAACAATTTGGCAAGAATTAAATCTTGGTGATATCTGTGGTTAAGTAGCTCCATGAATGTTATCATGTGAAATTTAGCACGTTAGATCATAGCACAGTTGTCCAGTGGAAAGCCTAGGAAGTTTTGAGTCATTGTGAGAGCTTAGGGTCATAGAACTGATTGTGTGATGCCCTTGAAGTTAAGTTCAGGGGGGGCCAAACGTTTAGGGTAAATCAATGTTGAAAAGGGTAGAAGTGTATTTGCTATAAAACTCCACTATTCCGAGCTGCCTAGTAACCAGGAGTAACATGAGCCCCATGTGTACTTTTGCGTCAAACAGCAGTTCGGGATATAAGTGTGCTAAAAGCAAATCTAGCTTGTTACGTTGTTGAGTAACCGGGTGCCTTCATCACCAATGTTGGCATTCGCGTAAAAGGGCAGCAGTGACATGAAGATCTAAAAATTAAAAAAAATTAAAAAAAAGAGTTCAAAAAGGGTTATATGTATGCACCCACCTAGTGCCCTTAGAGGTAGACTACGGGTTGAATAAAGCCTTAGGCGTTTGGTTCTCTAGAGCACCAGGAGAGGGGTCAAGCAATCAGCTTATTAGACCAAAAGCTAGGCTCAAGGATCGTGATTCAAGCAACCTAGGTGAAACAAGGATGGTTAGCTATGGTCCCACACACTCACTATTAGAGGAATGTCATTTGTGGAGTGGGCAGAATGGCAGATTGATCTGAGATTGGATGAAGAGTCGGTTGGAAATGAGCTGGGACTCTAGAGGCATTGTTGGAGAATGGAGAATCAACTTGCTCAGCAGCCAAAGCAGAAATTTGTGTTATTTTGTGTTTAGATATTGTGTTTTGTTGTTTTGTTTTGTGTTGTTAGGCATTACTCGAGGTCGAGCAATGACTTAAGTTTGGGGGTGTGATAACTCACAGAAATAGAGTTATTTAGCATACTTTTAGGCTTAATATTTGTTTATATTCTCCGGGTAAAATGCCTTTGTGTTAGTATTTTGAATAGCATTTATTAATCTTTGTCCGTGTGGCAGAAAGTTGTTATTTATGGGAAATCTTGCTATATTTTGAAGTTATTCCTCAATTCAACTCATTGCATTGACCCTGGGAACTTAGTGCATGATGTCCACAGGAGGTGCTGACGTAGGCTTTTGGTGAGAAAAGCACAGTGGAAAACACAAATGTTGAAATGCCCCCAATGCCATAGCATTGCTACAGTAAAGTCGCAGCAAAAGCAGGAGCAACCAAAAATTAGCAAGCTGGCGCAGTTTGTCTTTTAGCGCTGGTAGTGGTTCAAGCACTGACGGGACAGCTGTAAGAGCACCAGGAGGGGGGACCATCAATCATGACTCTCATGCATACACTTGTCACTAGGGCACCTCAACATGCCCTAGTATATAAAGGAAAAGGAGAGTATAGTACAACAGCGAGAGAAAGGAGGAGAAAAAAATCAGAGGAGGCGCACAAAATTCATGTACGAGTTGGAAACGGAGACAGAAGAGAGTACAGGGGATTTTGGACGCTGGAGCTGGAGAAAAGAAGAGTACAACACGGATATACAGGGGTTTTTGACCTCAGATTCTAGCTTAGCTGTTTTCTCCTTCTCTCTGTATTTACTTTCCGAGACCTTATGGATCTGTTATTTGTTATTAATTCTGATTTTGTTGAACTAAACATGAGCTAAATTCCTTAGCTAGGATTATTGATGGAACCAAAGTTGCAATGAAGATCTATTTGCTATTTTGATTGATAATGTAATTTTCATCTGGTTTATTCAAGCGTATTTATTGTTTACTTTCTATTAAGTGACAGGCCATCATTTAGTAAGAAAACACAAACTTAAGCTAATTCTGGAAAGGTTGGTTGAGTTAGATCTAGCTTGGATAATGTAAGAGATAGTATAGGAATATACTATTATCTTGTACAACCCATTAAAATTGATGTTAACGTCAGATTTGTAAACTAAAACACATAGGAATATGTTGGTTTAGTTTAAGGAATTACAAGCATAAATCTGTAGGAAGATGATTATGTAGAATTTTAGGTTGACTAGATGAACTTTGCTACAGCAATCGTATAGCAAATCGTGGTCAGAGTTGCAACCGAGGGGAAATCAGTAATCCTAGCCTTCATCCATCATTAAATCACATCTCTAAGCTCAGATCTTGTTGACTTTTACCTCTTGTCTGCATTTAAATTACAGTCTTTGGTCTTATACATTCTTTTCACTTAATTAATATCAATTTGGCATTCAAACTATTCTCAATCATATTGATAAAACTGGTTTTTGTAATAGAATTCCTCATTAACTCAGTCCCTGTGGAGACGATACTTTACTCATTACTATATTACTTGTTCGATTGCGTGCGCTTGCGTGGAGTCATTTTATGCATAGAGTTTTTGGCGAACAGGGAACTCAAGGTTGAATTGGCAAAGAAATTCGTCAACTCTAGTGGAGTGACAGCTGACAATTTACTCGGTAAAATCAAGGAAAACATCGCAGAGATAAGGAAGAGCTTCGGTGAGGGGGTAATTGATCCGAAGCGATATGATGACGATTCCTTAGCCAGGTTATTGTTCTTGGATGGCTGTGCAGTAGTAGAGTTCATACACAGTTATGTTTTGGGTGATTTAGAAATGTTTAACATCAATACCACTCAAGCAGCCTTTATCCAACAGGATTTGTTTTTGTTAGAAAACCAAATCCCCTTTGAAGTCCTTAAGTTGTTGATGCAAAAGATCAATCATGCAATGAAAAAAGAATTTTTTCGTAGAGCCTTTCTCAGATTCATCCTTGGAACCAATGTTTGCGCTCCAACTGATGAGTACGATTATGTCACCGATATCACAAACCTGATTGGAGACTTAGATAGCATAAAGTCGGTTCACCTTCTCGACCTTCTTCGGACGTTATCCATATCTGGCAGAATCAATGAGGTTGAAGATAAGTTACACGACGAAGAGATAGACGCTATCCATGTAAAAGAAGAGTTTGATGCGCAGCTCGATAAAGAACACCCAACTCCTATCGACAACTTTAAATTTGCAGTACATATAGTGACTGGAGGTAAAAAAGATGACGAACAATCTTTTCGCAATGTCCAGGAACTTAAATCATCTGGAATAAACATGAGGCCGAGCAATTCACGCAACTTGAAATCTGTCTCTTTTGGCACTCATTGCTTTGGTTTTCGAGGTCACCTTAAACTTCCAACATTGGCGGTAAATGACTCAACGGTGTGTAAGTTGTTGAACCTGGTAGCCTATGAAATGTGTCTAGACGATCCTAGGAAGCATAGGGTAACTTCTTACTTAGACTTTATGGATTTACTCATTGACACCGAACAAGATGCGAAAGACCTAAGGGCAGCACACATACTCCGGAATCGTCTCAGTACCGACGCAGAAGTGGCTCAAATATTCAATATGATAGGTTCAAGTTACTTTTCAAAGACACCTGATTACTATGTGGATGTCAAGAATAAAATTGAAGAGCATTATAAGAGAAAGTGTGCAGTCTGGATGGCTCAAGTGTACAACGACCATTTTGGTAATCCCTGGACCATCGTGGCTCTTTTAGCTGCCGCAATAGCTCTTATATTAACATTCGTTCAGACTTGGTATGCCATCTATCCCAATTAAAGAGTGAGAACAGTATATGAATGCAAAGCTTCTTTCGAGAAACTTGCCAAGTCCATAATTGTTATTGAGCTTTATTGTCGATTTCTTTTCATGTTAATCTTATGTTGTTGTCTATACTAAAGTTGGTCTAAGCTATTAAGGACGCGTCTGGTGTGCCGTATTGTATTGTATTAAGCCATATTGTATTTAATGTACATGATATACTGTTTACCATCGTTTTCGACCATCTCTCTATCATCGCTTTCTTTACCTTTTGGTTACTCATTTTATATCTTCACTTTCTCTTGATCGACTCATTCTGTCCCCTCACTTCTCACCCTTCACTTTTTTCTGTCTTCACATTCTCAAAAAAACTTCAATCTCTTTCTATATAGTATATCAATCTGAGCATTTGAAAAGATAAAAAGGAAAACAGAAAAGAACGTAACGATTTTGTTACGGAAAAATTATGCGAACATTGATTGTGGTATAAGAGAGCTAGAGAAAACGACATAATTCGATATATATATATATAAGAAAGGATACTATTTCTTCGATATCCAAACGACAGAATGTATAGAAAACAACATTAGTTGAAGGAAACAGACAGCATCTGCGTCTTTACAAACGACATGATTCTGGGAAGAACGTTGTCAGAAGAAAAAGTAGAAACAAAGAGATCTTGAGAAAATGACAATATATATATATATATATATACAAACGATATATATTGAAATAAACGAGAACAAAAATGTTTACAACGACATTAAATTGATGAACCGCAGAAAAAAGATTCAAAACGACAAGAAAACAAAACATATGAAGATAAAAAACGAGAACAATTTGGGAGACAATATCAAAAGGCTTTTATAGAAATCAAAGGATATTAGGCCTAACTCAACCTAACAAAACCGACTTGTTAGGGGAGGATTGTTCTCACCTTATTAAGTGGATCGTGCTAATATCTCCAGCCAATGTGGGATTCTAATAGGCGAGTAAGGAAAAATATGTAAATTGATCAAACCGGCAATAGAAACATTGAAAACGGCAGAAAAAAAAAAAAACACAAACCACGTGAGCGGGGGAAACGACAAGGGGATGAATGACAAGCCAATATTTTTTCCACCTGCTCTCTCTGCCACATTTTTATTACTTTTAAGTAGCTGGGCAAGAATAGCAAGTTCTTTTCTCAAGTGTTGAGGAAAAATATGTAAATATACAGACATGCAATTCAATTCCATATATAGACAATTATGGCCTCATCCAATAACTTAAACATGTTTAAGAGATATAATTCACGGCTTATGGAAGAGTATAATTTAGAGTAGTTTTCCCGATTAAGGAACATGCTAATTATATGGTAATTGCAAATGTGAAAATAAGAAGAACAATAACAGGATATATATCTTGGATATCATAGAAGTATAGGTACACAGATAAGTTATTGCTATAATAAATTAAAAAATATTATTATCTAGATGTACATAAATGAATGAATAACATCGTTTTAGCGGCCTAATATCCCTATTTGATCTCCTTGATCATGTCTTCCTAAAATCCTGTGTAATTCCTCAGGTCTGCAAGGGACCACAAGAGCTCCAGTTTGTTCAAAACCATATTCTTCCTCAGCCTGCTCAAGGAGCCTCAGAAACGTAGGGCTATTTAAGCACTCAAGCTTAACAATAAACCGCTTTTTCTCGGCACCCTTCGCTGCGAAAACTGCGAAATGCCCTTCCTTCACATCATCTGGTACAATGGTTGGCACTTCCATTTTCTCTTCTTCATCAAAATCATTACTATCTACAGCTTCTTTTGTTGCTGCCGAAAGAGAGAAGCGGTTTTGCAGTTTTCCCATGGAAACTTGAAGCCTACGAAAAGTGCTAATTTTAGCGCTTTCTTTCCCGTGGTACTTTTCGGTACTCATGATTTGTTGATGATAGATAAGATCACTAAACCAGCTGGCTCTTTATTCCTTGAAACTTAGGATGGTTCTCTTTGTTCTTTTTTATGGAGATTTTATAGTGGCTTTTGAGGGATATCGGTAACGAGGAAGAAATTTCTCTCTGGGTCCATGGAAGTCATAACAATTGAATGTGGTTGTTACAACTTGTCCTTCAATATTGTACTCTTTGTCTACGGAGAGACTCGGATCTAAAATTTATACTCCAAGAGCAAAATATTAAAAAAATAATAAAAAATAAATTTTACTTTGGTTGTTGAAGAAAATGACTTGTGCAGAAAGGTATATATTTGGGAATTAGCTGAACTACCTAGCTATAGTACTCAGTGTCGTACAGTACAGGTTTTTACAGATCAAGTAATTAGTTACCAATGAAAATTAACAAAAAAAAAAAAAAAAAAAAAAACCCAGAAAAAACACCAAATCTAATAAATAACCAAATCTAATAAATAAAATTATAATAAGCTTTTTAAACAAAAAAGAAAAAAATACCTAGTAAACAAGCTTAACTGAAGCACAAAAAGTGTATTTGACAAAACTATATGTGAACAAGTCTTAGAACGCCATTTGGGAACTGTTCGATTCACCATGCATGCTTACATTTCAACTTGATACATACTTTAATTAGCTCATAATGATAGTCTCAGAATTTTCTCTAGCCTTAGAAAAAATAGGTGTGGTACATTAATTTTCAGAACTAACTTTCCCAAAAGACGGCTGATATTGAAAGGGGTATTGTTGGATCATTGGATGCAAGTTGAGAGTTTTGACCAAGAAATATATCACGAAGCCCTAGGTAAAGTATAACGTAGTTTAAGACTAGGATTGGTTTTTTTTTTTTAATGGTTACTGTGAGTTCTGAAGACTCTAATGCCTCGTTCATTTTACCAATTCGAATTTAGAATTCGAGTTTTGTTATAGTAAAAAGCTCTCAGAAACAGTCACATCTAACTTTTTTGTTACAGTAAAAAGCTCTCACATAAAATCACATCTCAGTTTAAATTAAAAATTCGAATCAGTGAACTAAACGGGCCCTAAATATATTGAAAATGACAGGCCGTAAATGTGTGGACATGTCAATATATTTGTAGTACGATAATTTCTCATGAAAATGACAAATGTTGATGAATGACTTTGATATTAATTAAAACAACAAGACGTATTCCTTTTGTAAAAAAACAATATGCTATTTTTTCTACTTCCCAATCGACAAAAGCCATAAAACGACATCGTGCTGGGAGAACGATAATAACTCAATATAAGATAACAACATATCGTCTACCGACATACTTTTGTAAACAACAATGCGAAGAAAACGACATCAACTAGAAAACGGCAAAATTTTGATAAAATGACAACATATTACAACGAAACCATTTTCAAGAAACGACATATATTCAAAAAGGAAACATCTAATAAAAACATGAAACACAATTTTAGTAAATCTCAAGAAGATGCTAAATATGCCAAGAAAGTGACATCAAAATTCAAGAAACCTACATTATCCCTAAAAATAAATAAATAAATAAATTGAAAGCACTCTAAAACGACAAGAGGCAAAAACGAGTACTAATCATTGCTGGATAAAATAGTACTCTCCACTTTGAGCCAAAAAAAAAAAATACTCCTCAAAAACCATATTTCTTCGTGCTTCTCAAGAACTATAGGGAAGCGCGTAATCAACAAAAAATCTCCCACACCAAAAATGTAGAAAACAATTAACAGTAACGAAATGGATAGAGCAACAAAAGTGGGCAAAAACGTCATTGCAGATGTGAAACCGTACGTTGTTGCTTCAGCAAAGGGGATGGCAGAAAAGGAGAACCATGCATGGCATAAAGAAACGACACTAAGAGCATGAGTACTGCATGACAACTCGGGAAACCCCATGGCCATCGGAGGTGTTATGTTGTGTGGAGCCTAATCACGTTGGAAATCAAGGAAAAAAAGGGAGAAAAAGGTTGTTGAGCGCCGTGGCTGGAGCACCGCAGCGCTGGAAGAGAAGCATGCAGCTTATGGCAAAATTAGATAGATTCAATTTCAAACACAATAAAGTGTGTTGTGAAAATTGCAAGTGCACAATATCGTTAATAACTAATAAAGTGATAAGTATAAGTATCGTTTCAAAAAAAAATCACATTAATTTTAATTAAGTATCGCAATTGGCTAACTCTAAAATTATTTGAAAGACCGAATAAATTATAATAAAAAAAACAAATAATAAAAACTAAAAAAATAATTAGAACTCTAAAGCAACCGATTTCACCATAATTAATCCACTTTATTTCCTTAATTCTTATTATCCAAGTTCTTTATCCAAGTTGACAGTAGAAAATCCCTAATTGATTCAATGCTCTCTTTCAAGTTACACTAAAAGTTTTCTCAATTACTAACCCACTAATTCATACGTGAATTATAAGAATCAAGTAGTCATTAAGTTTCGTGGATATTCATTTAGTGACCACACAAACCATGCAAGTATATTCCTATTTCACATACAATTTATGACATTCAACACAATAAACTCGATACATAATTCCCCTTCTAATTCTATTATGATTAACTTATCATCTAATTAGTGACCAATTAATTAAAATTATTAAGACAATGATCAATACTCAATCTTGAAAAAATAAGCACTGAATAACTCGAATAAAAGAAATTAAAATATCATTGTCAGGTTTCATTATAGCTCTAGAAAGAAAACTAAAACATAAACAAAAATAAAAATAAAAATATGATAGTGGTTTCCGCATAATTAAAGAACAAAAATAGAGAAACAGAAAATTAGAAAATAGAACCAAATTGGAGGTGTCGCCGGTCCTTAGGTTCTTCCTATAAATCTTCTTCTCTTCTAAATGTTGCCTCAAAAATACCTTCCCCAAAAGAAGACAAATAAACCCTTAAGGCTGCTGACACTGCATGTGACACGTGGCGATACGAGATAGGCGAAGCTAAGAGTTGGGCGACGTGGCGAAACAATATTTGACTAGACACGAGGGTACAAATGGGAGTGAACTGAGAAGCGTAGCACACAATTTGACACACTGGTAGGGACGTTGACAGCGAATTTGGATGCGCGTGCTTGGGAGAGTGATGTGCACTCGCGGATCTGGTTCGTCCAAGAAGCAATCTGACAACTGAAATCGCCTGTGGGAGTGGCTCTTCGTGCGTATACGTGGGGGACGGTTTTGGCTGATCAAATTTGAATTTTTTAACCTGATGGCTCCTTCTACCTAGAGATGCAACAGTGGGCCGGGGCTCATGGGCCGGTCCAAGCCCATCTTGACACAGTGATGAGTCGAGTCAGTACGGCCCGACACTGTTTAAGGCACGGCCACACCCATAAATATTGGTGGGTTGGGCTGGGCCAACATATATCGGTTCATGAGCCGGCCCGTCACAGCCCATGAAAAATCATGAGACAGGCCAGGCTTGGGCCGGGCTGGGCCAGCCCGTCTAGGCCCATGATGGGCCGGCTCAGTCCAGCCCGTCTAGGCCCATAATGGCCCGGCCCAGTCCAGCCTATAGAGGCCCATAATATTTTTACGTTTTTTTCTTTTTTTTAGTAATTTTGTAAACATCTTATGTATAATTACCCTTATTGTACACTTTTTTTCTTACTAAGGTTTTGTCCCACTGGGTTTTGCTTAGAAAAATTTTTATTTAATGAGGTAATCGTAAATAAAATATCATTTTTCATATTTCCATTGACTATTCAAACTTATATATTTGTTAAGTTGTTTAAAAATTCAAAAATAAAAAATAAAGATAAAAAAATTGAAAATTGCATGCTTAAACGGGTTGACCCATTTAAACCTATGATGCACCAAGATGGGCTTTGAGTTGGTCAGCCCATTCAAGGCCCATGGCACGGCCCATCCTGACCTGCGGCATGGCCAGCCTGGTCCACGTAAAAATGGCCCGTGGTGTGGGTTAGGCTGAGGTCATTCTTCTATGGCCCGGCCCACAAAATTCATGAGCTAGGCCGGCCCGGCCCGCGGCCCGTGTGGGACTAAGGAGAACGGGTCGGGCCGGGCCGGACCGGCCCGTTCTTGCATCTCTACTTCTAATCCCAATTAAATTCCAAATTGCACTTGTCACCTAATTTAATTACACAAATGAGGACAAAATAAATAATTAGAGGGGAAAACTGAATAAAATACAATTAAACTAAACTAAAAATCAAATAAAAGAAATAAAAATTTCAAGAACAAAGCCCATTTAACTCGAAATAGGTGCGAAAATAACTCTATTTTATAGAGTTATCACAAATTTCTTAAACGCCATTTCCTCTTTGTGCTTCTAAAGGAATAAAGGAAATGCGTAGGCAAAAACTCACACAGTTACATGCACACCAGTATAGAACACAAGTCAATATTTATATATATAGAAGACAAGTAATATGTAGAGAAGAATTAGAACAATCTAAGTCTTCAGAACTCTGATCTTTTATCCATCATGTCTTCAGAACTGGTTCTCGTACTCATCATGTGTTCCTAAAATCTTGTTTAATTCCTGAGGTTTGCAAGGGACCACTAAAGCTCCGGTTTGTTCGAATCCATACTCTTCCTCAGCCTGCTCAAGCAACCTCAGAAACATAGGGCTAGTTAAGTACTTAAGCTTAACAACAAACCTCTTTTTCTCATCATCCTTCTCCGCCGACACCGCGAAATGCCCTTCCTTAACATCATCTGGTAATGTCGGTGGAACTTCCAAAGCTCCTTCTTCGAAATCGATCTCATCAGTCTCTCTGATTTCTCCTAAAAGCGAGATGCGTCTCTGCAGTTTTCCAATCAAAAGCCGAAGCCTAAGGAAAGTTGGGGCTCTTTCTTCGCAGTTTTCATTACACATGATTGCTGGTGATAAGACTAAACAAGCTGCTTATAATGATTTGAAAACTTGGGATAGTTCTTTTTGTTGATTTGTGATGGAGATTTTATAGTGGCTTGTTGAGGGATTTCGTGGTTACAAGGAAGATATAATTGAATGTGGTTGTTGAAAATTGTCATTCCAATAATGTAACTTTGTCTCCCTTGTAATTCTTAGTCGCACAACGGACGTTTATCAAAATACTAAATTACTATAGGAGGTTAAAAAGAACGCGTTTTACAGAAAGATAAATATTTGTGCACAACACACATCAAGTTTATTGTTAATTTCACTATGATCTAAAGTTTTACAGCTCAATTATGGTGCTTCCGTGAACATTTTTTTGTTTGGGAAAAGCCTTCTTAAACATGAAAATAAACAGGATTCGTGGACATATATATATATATATATATATATATATTCACAACATATTGACGAACGAAATTGTTCAATATGTGCTAAACAAGCTAAACAAGTATAGTTAGTGTTGTACCATAATCTACATTTTTATTGTTCAATATGTGCCCTCGTTCTTTCAGTTGATTAAATGTTCATTTGTTGCGGAAGCCTAAAAAAAAAAAAATATATATATATATATATATATACGAGTTTTTAATGGTTACATTTTCATCGGTAGTTAACATTAAATTGATAATAATCAAATTTCATTAATTATCATAATTTTTTAATCAACTATTCAATTTATTATAGTCGTCGGATCAATATCTTATGATTAAAATAACGATATTCATCGATGGGCAAATAATGAAGTAACCATTAAAATATATCTCGACTCCTGAATTAGGGAAAAATACAGCTAAAACTAATACATAACACTAGAACAAGCTTCTTTTGTACAGTAAATTACTAGTTGAATTTACCTATATGTATTTTAGAAATTGACCCGATTATGTTTATTTGGACAAGTTGAAATGAAGCATCTTTAGCCAACAGTTTATTTTCTTAGACAAAAAATGATGAAAACTTTTAATAATATACGTACCCAGCCTGAGAATTTTGAATGGCCTGAGATTAAATATATATGAGGACTCAAAAATTGATGTTTTTGTAATTTGGAAGGTAAAAGACCTTTTCAAGTTAAACTGATATTGGAAAGAATACTGGACTCAAGTTGAGAGTTCTCAGCTTTATTAGTCTTTGTGACATTAGATTTTCATTGGCTATCAAATTCTGAAATCCCTTTTTGGAAATTGGCTATCAAACATTTTTAAGGAACTGGAATATGTAGAATTGCAGGCCTTGTTGCGGACCCAACCTTTTTTTTTTGTTTTTTTTTTTTTGGGTATTACATGTTTGAATAATTAATTGCCTAAGATCCTTTATCTTTTGAAGGATAAGCAGACTTCTCTATTTTTATGTCTTTATTTTAGACCATAGCAAAATCAAAGCACAACACGTAAATTTGACAAAATCTTATGAAAATTTGACGAATAAGAAACACGCACTATATATCAGTAGATTCTTTTTCTACACCCTAAAGAGAATCCCAAGGTTATCTGCTATTTTGTTAGTTATATTACTTTCAAATTGAATGAAAGAGGAGATCGGAGGTAACATCAATCCATACCATGACAAGCATAATATGGAAATATAATGATTGCTTGCTCGATCGGAGGCAAAATAAATCCAAAGGTGGATGCTAATTTAATCAAGATTTCTTCCGTTTTCTACTCACAATTGTCATACCTTCTCCTGAATCAATGCGTGATGTATGATCTCAAGTTCTTTTTTGAGCAGTACTAATGATAATGAGTTTGGACACCATCGATTTTCTGAGTCAGATCCACCTGATGTGAATACACAGGCTTGTGATGTCGTCTTTTTAATTAGTCATGGCTAATTATACATAATGTTGTTTCTTCTTGAAAGAACTCATGGCATGTTTACGTAAGCGTAATCGAAATGGGTATGAATCGGAGTGGATATGATTTAGAGTGAAAAATCGGAGTCATAATAAGTTGTTTATTTGGTAACAAGATTTAGAATCGAAGTCACTCCAAATCTCATTCATGCGTTTACTTATACCCAAAATTGGAATGAACTTGTAATGACTGAGAAAATTTCAGACCTTAAATAATACAATTCATGTATTTTTAAGCCAAGGATTTTCTTAGAAAATATTATGTTATATTGTGAATGGAGGATTTATGGAATTAATATATGTATTCCTAAATTCTATAGCAAATTTCATGTTAAGTTCATGTTTCGATCAAGTAAATTCGATCGATAAATTCTCGCCGTATTTTAAGGCAGAATAATTTTCAGTACAAGTATAGTTTGAGAATCTTAATTTCAAGAATCTCTAAGCACAGCACGATGTTAGCGGCATATAAAAAAAAAACGCACTGACATTTTAAAAGAAGAAAAAAATCCTTAATTGCCAAACAGTTAGGTTAAAGTCACAAGATAAATACCTATAGTAGATGGATACAATATGAGCTCGGGAGTTGACACTGTCAGAAACGTCATTCTCGGGATAGAATACAGAAAATTAAAATTTAGAATTTGTTCAGTCTAAAATTAATTTCAAGACTTGAAACAGTTCGAAATATTAAGCGAGTAAGAATATAAAACAATATTGAATTATTCAGAAATTAATATTGGACTGTAAGTAGTAGATTAACTTACGTAAGCTAAACTAATTACCTCTAATCAGTATAAATTTAATCTGTTTAGAAGAAATAATTGAGGATAAGATCAGGCACGTAATCTTACCTTAATCAGATACTTTATATAGTGAAATTTTAGGGTTCTTGCACTTTCTTTCTCTTATTCTCGCTCATTCTCTCTCTCCTCTCACGTTCTCTCTCACACAAACCATCAATGGCCAAATACTCAAGTTAAGATTCCGACCTCCATTTTTGACACCACCGGTGTCAATAGAAAGATCTCGACGAGCTGAGTTCAACGACATGCGGCACGACCTCCAACCCCGCCGGAATCAGCCGCAATCGCCGGCGGAAGTT